TCCTAGTCTATAGTCTAAAGTCAATTCTATACTAGCATTTTTTCCTAATTCATTTGCTCTACATTCTTCCTTTAAACAATTTTCTCATGTTTTTGTCCAAAAGAATTAAAGACTTTTTATTGTCACTTTCTTTTATAATTCATTTTAAATATTAAACGTAAAATGTAAGTATGTGCAAAAACAAAATCGTACTAAGGCACTCCTTAGGTTTTTTTTTCCAAAATAAATCTTTGCAATGAAATAAAAACAATAATTTAAATCTCATAAATAATTCAGATCAATATATACTATAATATGCATTACAAGTGCTATAAAATTTTACATAACCAATGAAATTCTTAAATACTTAAAAAGGGATTGATGGAAAAGTGTCTTAAGACAAATGGTTTAGGAAGTTAAAAAGAGAGAGATTTAAATGTCTGCCAGACGAGACTACTTATTTAAGAAAGCTCTTTTGTATACATACAAGTGCAGTGAATCCGTTATATTATAGGTAGAAGAAATTTTACATTTGATTCACTAGCAAGACCGATCTTTATCAGTTACTAGTTACACTTTAAGATCAAAGTAATGCACACGGTGTATTTTCCCTGGTTTCTAGTATAAATAATGTTGGCAAAGCTCGCCAATTAAAGCTTTGATATGTAACCAGTGGTTGAAAAAAATAGTACCAAACTCTGCAGGTATTTTAATTTCTGTAGTATGTCTGGATAGCACCTGAACGGCACATTTTGCAATACCTTACATTTACTTAAAAATAAACAAAAAAAAAAAAAAATACAAAATGATATTCCACATTTGTGTAAATTATTCATAAAATGTAAGTGTGTCATTCTTGATTTCTCTCTGCATAATTTTTGAAAAACAATCAAATGAAAAGAAACAGATTATACTTAATTTCAAAAATTTTTATTCAAGATTTTGTTTTCGTTTTTTTTCTTGTATCATTTTAAAATTATTTGTTTAGTATTTTTAAATGTATAAATGTATATTTGCCACATTTGTTGAAAAGAGGAGGCGTTACTTTCAAAAACGAAAAAAAAGAATGTAAAACAGAAATGTTACTTGCAACACATTCAACAAACGTGATGTCTTTAGGCCAGTAGCTGTTAATATTTTATTTATTTTTTTCCAGCCTTGTTTTGTTTTTATAGCCTGAATGTATAAGTATTTTCAAATGTTAAATTGTAAAGATCAAAAGTTCAGTGAACTTTATGGTGGTAGACTTTTCTGTTACAGTAAATTTTAAGTAGTGCTTTAAAGTGTAACCGAAAGTATATGGAATTTGTTAGCATTGTTGGAAATTTCAGGTATTTGTAGATATTTTTAAGAATCTTAGAGGAGTCGACTTATCGAACTTTTTCGACTTTTATTTGCAAAATACATACATTCTTCGATTTTCGATAAGTCGATTTATAGAATCGTAATACGAAGACCGTGGATTCGATTCTTACCGGACCCTATTTTCAAACTAACAACTCACTTATTTTGAATTCTATTCAACGATATCTGAATTTAATTAAGCGATGTCTAGTTAAATGCATTTTTTTGAATCCTACTTGTAAGAATTTGTTTTTCGATCTATGAATAAATATATCCATTATCCATTTCCCAACTAAAAATTCTTACATTTTTCTCTTTAATACATTTTACATCAACAGTTTTACGTTGAACATAAAACCTACACTTAACATTGTTTATATCGTTAATCAGTGTCTAATATAATATATAAATGATAAAACGGAACCAGTAATGATTACATTATACTTACATCCTAAATTACATGATGTAGTATAACTCCTACAATGGTTTCATCATCAAAACACACATTATATTAAACCTCCCAAAACAGCAACACCAACAACAACAGAATAACAACAAAAATAATACCATTATTATTATTAACAACATGTTCGCGCATCAGCAACATAAGTACTCAATCGTTCGTATGTAAGTGTTTCAACATACAGTTGAACATAAGAGTAATACAACACATCATCTTTAGGTGAAATTCGTAAACATAAAACATCGATTTGAACGATGTGAAATCATTCATTCACTCATTCACTTACAAACACACACACTCACTTAATTTCAACTCATACATAAAGATAAATACATATGTCTATTGCCATTCATGCATGTAACTTAAAACATGTGTATGTTTGACTGTAGTAAATAGTAAGTTTCTATCGATTTGCGAAAAAAGCATCTGTAGATACAAAATTCTTTAGACAAACGACTTCAATTTAATGTCACACTCTCTAAACGTATGACAGCAACAATAACAACTACAACTTACAAAGTACATTAAAAGAAAGATGTCTTTTCTTAGAAATGAATAGATGATGTAGAAGAAGAAATTGCTAAAATAAATGATAAAAACATGGGAAATAAATCGTTGTTCTCTACATTTTTACCACCTTTAACCATAATGTGAACAGGCAAACATACTTTCAAATATATACACACTTGTGTATACATATTGACACACTATTACAAAAGCCAAATTTGATCAATACAATCAACTTTAGCAGACGTCTATATGAAAGGGTATAGATGAGAAGAAAAGGTTGCTGTGGTGACGTAGAGGCAGGAAGAAAAGTTATTTTATCTAAATAGGAAATTGTAATGGGAAATTACAACATGTTTTGTTGTTGTTGATATTGACAATGTCATTGTTATATTCTTGTTATTATGACTGCAATTCTCTTTCTCTGCTGCTGTTGGTGTTGTTTTTGTTGTTTGCATTGTTAACTTGGTTATTGTTACTTGATGTTGTATTTGAATTGAAATGATGTTGTAGTTATTGCCACCTGATGCTTAAAATGCCATAGTATACATAATCCTACTATATATTGTTGTCCTTGTAGCAATAATCGAATTAATTAGTTTCTATTCATGCAGAATATCGGCTTGACAAGAACTGTTGTTATATATTGTGTGTCAATTGGGAATCTGATTTATCGAAGATTTTGTTCCGTAGGATATTTAAAATCTTCGGAAATTATATGCATAAAGCTAAATGCGATAACAACTGTAACCCAATATAAGAAATCCACTGAAGTTCGCTTCCAAACGGAGCTACAGGATATTTCGTGGATAATATGTAGATATGAAATGGTTAAACATGTGCAACATTACACCAACCCGACATTTTAGAATAGGCGAAGAAATAATAATGGACATTAAAACTTTCAGCACATCTCCCTTTTATGAATGATTGGTATCGCATTTTTGTATCCTTCGTGCTAAACCGTTTCTTTTGCAAAGATCTTGATGGACATTTGAAATTTTTTAAGAAAGTTCTTGAATTTTTGGCAATGTTAATAGTTTTCCTAGCCCCCATACAAATTTCCTCCGGAATACTATTACTAATTACTATCCAAATTTTTAACCCAGAGACCAAAATATACTTTTCATATTTGGGATTTGAGATATGATGTCCTGAAATTTGAAAAACGCCAGTTTGGCCCATATTGAGATGTTAGAACAGCGCCAAGAAAAATTTTGTTTATAAAATGCAGTTTGTTAAAAACACTCCTTTAAAGTTCTATAAACTTTAGAAACTTATAGCCCACATAATAAAATTTACCATATAATTAACATTATACATACATAAAAGGGTTTGTTGCTTGTGTGAATTTTATGTTTGTTGTAAGTCTATCTATTTCTCACACACAATAAAAGTGTAAATGTTTGTTTGTAAATCTTTGTGTCTGTCTATAAGTTTCCAAATACATATTCTGGTGTGTCACAGTGGAAACCCCAAATAAATGGCGCTAGTTAATAAAAACCTTATGGAGTAAATGTTCGTATGGATACCTTAAACTATATATATGTAGATAAACTCCATCTCTCTCTAAGTATTACAAACCAACCTACAAAACAAACGCACCCACTTAGAGAGAAAACAAACAAACAAACAAACCAACTGACGGAAATATTTTCTAAAATTTTAACACTTTAAGTGGAGTACGAGTAAATATGTACCTTTTAGAGTGTGAATGAATTGAGTTGTCTGTCTGTAAAGTTTTCTATAGCAGATTAAGTTTGGAATGAGTTTGTATGTGTGAAAGTTTTATCAGGGATAAAGATAATTTTATTACTTTATTACTAAAACAAATGATAGAGGGAAACACAGTGTGATATGTCTTGTTAAAAGTTAATTGGAATATTTAAATAATTAAAATGTATTTTAAGACAGAGGACTTCTTTAAACTTACTTAAGACATTTAATAGTAATTTTGAAAAAAGGCTTTTAATAACAAAATGTTTGATGGTAATTAAAATAAGGACCTACATAATTTTGTAAAGGATCTTTTAGCTTTTTATTCCTTTAACTTTTTAAATAACAACTCTTTATTGTTATTCTTTTAGCAAACAATTAACTCTTTTAATTAACTGATTAATTACTTACTGTACAAGTTCTACAGTGTGAAACAGCTTGTAGTACGGTTGCTATTAATGTCACTCCTTGTCGAACTTTTGTTGAGTTAAAGACAAACAATAATATAACAGCTTAACAAATTTCCTAAAGTTTTCATAAAAAAAATTATAAAATTATATACAACAGATAATCTTTTTTAAGTTCTCATACCAAAACAAGCACATTTCGTTAACTAAATATACAGTTATTACCAATAGACAAACTGTATAAAAGTCATATAGACAGACAGAATAAATATGAAAAAGCAATCATATTTAAACATGCATTTAGGTTAAATAGTAGAGGGAGTGGAGTAAAATATTTTGTAATATTTTTCATATCAAATTTCCAGTTAAAAATAATACAATTGTCATAAAATAGTTTTTTTTATGCAGCAAGTCAAATAGTGTAAGTATTTACACATTTACAGTTGTTTTTGAGTTGAGACTTCATACTTTTTACAAATATTTACAGTTTTTTTTTGAAGAATAGAGAGTTCTTTTTTAACAGTTATTTACAAGAGTATTTGTTTGATTTTTGTTATTGATGAAAATTATAAGTTAACACTTACCCTTTTGCCTCTCTTGCCTCGTGGTCCCTTTTCTCCGGGAGGTCCTGGTGGTCCAGCTGGTCCTGTATCACCCTTTTCTCCAGGTGTTCCAGGTGATCCTGAAAATTATTAATTTTTTATGGAATTTTATTAATTTTTTTTCTTGTAAGCAAGAAAATTTATATTTTATTGTCCTCGGTTTTATCAAATATTATTATTGTCTGGGGCATCATTAAAAACTTGAGTGAATAATAGGATTTTTACTTTGTACTGCAAATATTTATTATAACTGTTACAGCCATGTGCTTGACTACACTGCAAGAAATAGTCGTAAGCATACAAAAGTATAAGAGCGAAAGAAAAAGTGCCTATGATTTCATCAAATCGCCGTAAAGTTCAGAAACCTAATTTAATAAGACAGTCGGTCACGTTGAAATAAAATTTGCAGTCCAAAGCTGTCTGAAATTAGATCTTTCTTTTCATTTCTATGTATATACTCCCATAGAATTAGGACTATTAAAGTATCGACTAAAAAATATGGATGGCATTTAAATAGGATTTATGTAGTTTATTTTTTATACCCAACAACTTTCTGTACAATTTATATTGTTTTTACCACAAATATTTGTGCAACTCTAACAGTGGCTACTTCATAAAATGTACCAATAGAAATTAAACTTCAAAAAAAAAAAAAAAAAAAAACATTTGCATTTCTTCGGAATGGCTTCAAAAGTGTCACATTTAAGACAAACATTTTTGTGGAAATTTTTCAAATCAATGAAATTCATGTCACATGGCATGTCATAATGACAATCCAATTCCTCTTTAAAATTCAATTTTTCAACAAAATCCAAACATCCAATTTCTCCTCAAAAGCACTAGATTTGTCTTAACTATAAATTTTAAACTATCTATATGGATTCATTCATTATTTAGAGTTTTCACTGTGTTGTCTTTTGCTCCATTCGTCGTTGCTGGCTTTTTTTTTATCTTTTACCCCACAATTATTTTCCAATATTTTATATATTATTTTTTATTATTTAAAATGCATCTGTATACGCCTTACGTACATATTTATTTAAGTTTTTGTTTTCTAAACACATACCTGCCCATTTAACTAAGAGTACCAATAACTGCCCAGCAAAAACTTTCATTATCAAGCTATAATTTACTTGCACAATAACATTTTAAGTCATTATTTAGACACTATAATGTAATTTAAGGCAAGTACTTACCACTACCGCTTGCTAATAAGGAGTTAAGTAAGTAGTTTTGTTTAAAAAAATGCCGACGAGGATATGTCCACTGCGTTTACTAATATTTTTCACACCAAAATACAAATTATAAAACGTCATATATAGTAATTTGTAAGTTATTACAACACTCCTTATAAGTAATGCAGACGGTATGTAGTAGTCATTGATAAGTAAGATGATGTGTAAGTACAAGTCATTACCATGTTTATGCTAGGTACCTAAGGGGAAACTTAATTACAACTTGTATTTAAGAAACAACTAACTTTTCAATGACTGCTATATACCATCTGCATTACTTTTAAGTACTCTAATAATGACTTCTAAAAATATGGTATGTATTATATAGGTTACCAGCCGACCTGATTCGATTCGAATTCTTGCATCTTAATGTAGACTATTGCGTTGCGAAACTTCACTTTGACAGACCCTTCCATATCTGAGTTCCTGATAGGAATTCAGTACCCGAGTCCCACCAAATTAATGGTGTAACAAATGTTTACACTGACGGCTCCAAGAGGAGTGGAAGGGCTGGTGTTGGCTTTTACATTGAAAGATTTGAAATCAAATCCTCTTTTAGGCTACCTAATTATTGTAGTATTTTACAGGCAGAGATATCTGCTATCAAACGAGTCGCCAACTTGCTGAGATATTATCAAATATCAGGTGATATATGTTTATATACGGACAGCAAAGCTGCGATCAGAAATCTAGCGGGTGTCCTTACGACATCTAGGATAACCGAAGAATGCCGGCAATCTCTGATTGAGATAGCAAGACATTTTAGGATAACGCTAATATGGGTCTTTGGACAGAAATGGTGCGATGAGAGGGAAGAATGAAATTGACGCTTTTACTGAAATCTCCCTGAACTATTTGATGGTTCACTGAAACCACCTGTCTCATTTCGAGGTCATTTTGGCCTCTATACGATGCTCCCAGGTCAAACTTATTATTGAGCTTTCGCAGGGAACAGTTAGGAATGCTGGTATCAGTCATAACGGTAATTGCACAGTAATTGGTAATCACGCTAGAAGAATAGGTCTCGAATATAACTACTACTATAGAAGTTGTAATAATGAGGAGGAAGAGGAAACAATACCTCACCTCCTCTGCTATTGCAGTGAGCATTATTTCGGCTTTGCTGCTCTATCGTGTTTGAATGAGCTAGCTGGGATATGCCTTAAGAATATCCTAAAACCGGCTTGGTTAAACCTGGAAGTAGAGATTAATACTGAAATGGACTCCTACGACCATTATACTAATACTACTAGTAGCAGTAGTGTTTGAAGAACGATAGATGACTAACATACACGAGACCCATAACACAAAACAACTTATAAACTCCCTATTTGTAATGACTTAATTGAGTACCTACATATTTGTAATCAGGTTTAAGTACTTGCAGTATTAAAATATTATGTTTTTACTTACTTTTCAATATAAATTTTTGCTGGGTAATTGTCTTGTTGCAAATATTTTCATCTAGTAAATAACAAAAAACCTTTATTGTCCTGCAATTTCTCTACTACCAGTTTTCTACTTCTATTAGAAAAATTTTATTGGCATATAAATTTTAATAACATTTATAGAGAGGTTTATGTTGTGGTCTTTAGACAAATGTTTTATGCACTTTTTCTATTTTTTTATCATAATAAATTACTAACCATTTTCTAGAATATATAGAATTTAGAATTAGATTTTTTTTGCCCCGGTTTGTTTAACAAGAAAATATTTATTATTTCATTTTATCTTTAAGTTTTAAATGAGTGTATTTTTATTTGAATGCAATCTTCAAATATGATTTATAAGAACTTCAATTAAGCACCTGAGGTTTTTTATTTTTCTAAAAATAAATAAATCTATAAAGTGTAAAAATTTTTTCCCAATAATTTTTAAAATGTTTTATTTTTAGGTAAATATTTTATTTTATCGTTATAAGCAACAACTATTGTTTAGAAATTTATTAGGAAGAAAAACAAATGTTAGAATTTAAAATTTTTGTTATGCTTTAATGCTTTTGTAAGTAAAATATTTGTTGTTTAAATATGTAGCTTTTATAAAAAAATCTAAAAAAAAAAATTATAGAAAAATTTAAGACTTATCAGAACTATTGGCAGCAAGATAATAACTTTATGCAGCTTAAGATAGCAGAGGTTGTGTCTGACATTAGCTTTTTATATTTTTCGAAATAAATTTTTAGTTTGGATTACTTAAAATGTTAAGCACTATTTTAACTCATGTCACAAATCATAAGAGCTTTTCCTAGAATTTCTTATATTTTAAGGTGCTTATGTATTTAAGCCCTAAAATCTCTCTAAAAAATCATGCATAAATCTTAATGAAGAAAAGAAATCTTGTGTCTGTTACATAAAAAATAAATTTGTTTTTACTTGAACTTTTTCTAAATTAACATTAAATATTAAAGACATTTCAAATGAATTGTACACTGTAAGAAATAACTTAAGCATACAATATAAAAAAGTTAGTAATAAATATATTTTATTTCAAATATTTTTCAAAAGTGAAGATCATTTTTGTCATAAGGTTTGAAGTTCGAAGAAATTTCTTTATAAATATGACTAGAATGTAATATCCTAAGCATACAAACTGTAGGATTATGGAAAAAGAACTATTTTTCTATAATCTTAATTGTGCATGCTTAAGTTATTTCATTTGTAAATTAACAATTTCCTCCTTTCCAACTTATTTTTCTTTGCACGCTTTGAATTATTTCTTTTAATATAATTTTTCTTACTATTTTTTGTTTGTTTTATTTGCTTTATATGTCACAATGCTCCGGCAACAGTATGTGTTAAAAATGCATTAATATTCCATTTATAAACAACAATTTTTGTACAATGTATTTCAACTCCCATTTTCGTAAAAGTTTTCCACCAAGCAGAAAAAAATCAAAAATCAATTTATCAAAATTGTGTAAAAAGGAAATAATACTAAAAAAAAGTAAATTTTAATTTCTAGCACAACTCTCTCGGCAGATGGGAGTATGTGTGTGTGTAGAAGTTTCAGTATTTGTATCTGAATTAGTTTTTTTGTTCCCACTTAAGCTCTATTGAATACAAATTTATGACACTTGCTGTAGATTATTGGCTTTATTGTTTATTTTGTTTTGTCTGATACTAAATGGAAACAAATCTGTTTATAAATAAACAACAAACGAACTGTATAAATTATGTATGTAACTAAAAAAAACAAACAGACTGCATGTATGCACTTGCATGTAAACTATTTGCTTAATTTTAAAAAATAAATTTTAAATTTAAGCTTAAAAATACTTTAAAATATTGCTTCTTATAGTTTTCGTATTTATTACAAGTATTTCCAGGTTTAGTTTAAAGCTTATTTTTGTTTAAAATTTTTATTAAACAATATTAAATTTTATATTGAGTTTGTTATGAAGTTTTCCTTTTAAGATTTTGTTTAAATTGAGCCAATAAAAGCCACTTGTAATGCTCATTCAATCAATCAAACAATGTATGGAATAGAATATAAAACAAATAATAATGTTTAATACCCGGCAGTTCTGATGACTGTTGTCTAAAAGTATGACTTAATTTTTTTAATCAGACCAGTCTATTAGTTAGTCTACAGTCTAGTCTATAGTCTAGTCTATAGTCTAGTCTATAGTCTAGTCAATAGTCTAGTCTATAGTCTAGTCTATAGTCTAGTCTATATAGTCTAGTCTATATAGTCTAGTCTATATAGTCTAGTCAATATAGTCTAGTCTACATAGTCTAGCCTATATAGTCTAGTCTATATAGTCTAGTCTTTATAGTCTGGTCTATATAGTCTAGTCTATATTGTATAGCCTATATAGTCTAGTCTATATAGTCTAGTCTATATAG